GATTTACTACGATCCCACGTGTACTTATCTGGTTACTCGTTAATCGTCTAATGTCACTGTTAAAAGAAAGCCGGGGTCAAGCGTTTTCTCCTTTTGAATGGTATAGTTCATTATAATGGGGGCAGTAAAGTTGTATCAGTTTAACGGTTTCGATTGGTTCCTTGGAGCTTTAACCTGATCATAATTATGTCTTATGCACTTTGGTGAATAGTTTAAACTTTAAGAATCCATGATTTGAGGGGTAAACTCGCATAGAGTACTATGTTAGTTTGAAAATGAAGATTTGTATGTTTTTCTTGTTCATACCATTTCTAATAAGACACTCGGAGTCTTGTTAGTGTATTGGCCAGGCGAGTTTCCCGGTCCCGAAATAAGACAATAAAAGTCCATTCAAAGGGACTGAAAACATGATTTGAAAGGTCTCCTTCTAGTTCACTATTTTAAAATAAAAAGTTTGATGTGGAGCTTTTTAGACAAATTCTTTGCTCTGCGAAGTAGTTCAAATATTACAATTATGTCTGTCAACGAGTACTTTTATGTGATCATTAAGTAGGAAGGAAAAGTAATTTGCATCCCCGTTGTAAAAAATAGCGCTCGTCGTCCTCCAATCTAAAGCGAATGTGGTCTGTTGAGGCATTTTCTAGATTAAACTAGAAATTTTTTAAATTAGGGTTTTTTTATATGTAGACGTCAGGTTCGCAGTTCTCCAAATGAATATTGATAATGTAAATAAAGTTTACAAAGGAAACAGCGGTCGTAAAACGAGTTTTTGAACACCGACAGTCAACAGGAAATGTGATCTGTTCTATAGTCCAAGTATGGGCTATATGCGAAGTAATGGCAGGTGCAGAGGGCGAAAATTATAGCAGTGCATGGTACAAGGCGAGAAATACTGAAGGCGAAGCACCTCGAGAACTATCTATCTATCTATCTTTACATTACATGCATTACAGTCAACCCTTTTGTATCGCGATGTTCACCATTACGGTTTCGATATATCATGGGGTCGACATGAGAAATTACACTGGATTTTTGGGGGGTTCTGCAAAACCCGTAGAAGATGCACAAAACTCATAAATGCATAAAATATACTATGTACAGTGGTCACTACAGGATCTGAGTCAACCGAGAATTTGAGTTGCACATGCTCTGCTAATCGGAGTCAACCATGTTCTAAACTGTTATTAAAGTATTTAATTGTTCAAGTAATAAAGAACAAACCATCTGCCAAACCTGCACCTTTATCAGTTATAGAAAGTTAAGGCCCATCTCATGTACTTGCATAAATTTCATTTAATTGTCTTTATTGACACTGACAAAGCCTGTCACAGGGGACGTACACTTTTTGTATTTGACTTGCTTTTAGTCATTTTTCAGTTTTAGTTTTTTTTTTTTTTTTTAGGTAGATTTAGTTAGTTATTGGATGATTTATATTTGGCTTTCAATGCTGGCGCATGCGCGATTTGCATCCACTCACAGTGTCATTTATCTTGCATTTCCGTCGTTTAGTTCTGCTAATGTAGTTTCTTCCCCCGTCAAGGTGACCAAGTGAACCAAAAAAAAAAACAAAAACAGAAGTTTACTCTCCAGAGCCAGTGTTCTGGATTCGCTTGTACATTTGTGGGGAGTGTGGTCAGGAAGAACATCAACAGCATTTATTTTTGCAAAAATCCTGCAGAGCTTGATATGAACTTTTTTGTGTGTTTTTTAAGTGATGGAACTGGTTGCTTGTGTTTCTAACTTTTGCCATCAGGACATGGTGACAAACCTTGCGTAATGCTGAAATTTGCTCAGAGTTGGATGATTTAAAATTAACCAGTTCCAAATAATTGGGGCAGTGGTGGCTTAATGGTTAGGGAAGCGCACTCGTAATTGAAAGATTGCAGGTTCGAATCCCCAACCAGCAAGGCACCACTGAGGTACCCTGAGCAAGGTACCGCCCCCAAGCACTGCTCCCCGGGCGCTGAATTAGCTGCCCCCTGCTATGTCACATATGGGTTAAACACAGAGGACACATTTCGTTGTGGTGTGACAACCATGATCACTGAATTAAAAAATAACTGAGGTGCCCTCCTTTTCTGGAGACTCGACTCCTGTCGATGCCTCAGATAGTTCTTAATTTGCTACTATATATATGTAAACATGTTATTTTTGTTTAAAGTGCATAATCACACAAAATCTGTTTATTTTGAATTTGTTAATTTGCTATCACGACAAGGCGACAGA